GAGCGTATCAGCGATGCGGTTGCCCTGTACCGAAACATAGCTGATAAATTGACTGTTGATTGACCATCGCGACCGCCTGCAGCAATCGGGAAGCCGATGGTGGCTTTGACGTTCATCTTATATATAAAGCTGAATGTCTGTTTGTATGTCTGTCTGTATGTATGTGTGTAACAGTGGCGTACCTAGGATTTCCGCTCGGGGGGGGGGCGACAAATTTTTTTCCGAATGAAGGTGCATGGCGTTAGCCACGCACTCCGAAAAAAATTTTAGGGGTGCTTCTCAAAACTTTTGCGGGTTCCCAACCCGGGGAAAAGGGGACTTAGGGTCAGCCACGCCCCCGAAAATTTTTTTTACAAGGCTAAATTGAATTTTTAAAAATTTTTAAAAATTATTTCAATTATTTACAATCATAAACAAGTTACTTGCACACTTTTATAACCCATATAAGTAACTTTCCAAACTTTCTCGACCCATTCCCACGCCCCCCTCCCCGCCCCCCCCCCCCCTACCCCCTCGGTACGCCACTGGTGTGTACGTATGTTCCGAATAGAAAATTCCATTTCTGAACCGATCCGGACCAAACTTGGCACACATACACTTCGGGGCTGGGCGGGTGTCATAGGCTACTTTTCGTCATCGATCGATATCGATTTTATTGATTTTTCAAAAAGTTGAGCTACGGGGCTGGGAGGTAAGTGAGCAGAGGGTAAGTGAGCATGCTGATTACGAATATATTGTTGTCAGGGCCGGACGAAGGCGGGTTTGCCAGCTAGTTGTTTAGTAAAGACATGCCTTTGCTCAAAACTTATCTTGTCTTGCCTGTCTTCTTCTTGATGTCACCGCTATTGAAACATGGTTATTTTGAAACAATCACAAAGCTCACATATCCCCTCCCCGTTCTCTGGATTGCCTGGTCCTGGAGCGAAAACCTGCGGTTCGAAATGCCGCCGAATGAAAGATTTCACGCTTATCGCAGCATTTTTACAGTCCCCGGAGTGGGCGAAACATTCCAAGTGGAGTAGCGCGTCCGCACCGCCACTGGCTCAGCGAGATAGGTTAGAACGAAGAGACGCAGACTGCAAAACGGCGCGAATCTTAGCGAAGCGGACTCCCGCGAGTCAAACTTCCGCCTAAACTCAGATGGAACTTACTATAACCGATTTTGATGGTTTGCTTTTACTATTTGTTTTGCAGGTTTTTTCATCAACTCTGATATTTCATAAACATTTCCTACTTTTTATAAGCAGTTATTTAGACAGCCTTCACTTGTGAGGTCTATCGAACGTACGGTTACACTATTGAACGTACGGTTAGCACAAAGCAGAAGCCGAGTGCGAAGGGCGTTCAACTCACCGCACTGGCGCGACAGAAGTGGGTGCATTGCGTCATGTCGCGTCCCTCTCGTGCGCCTCGTGTTCTCTTCGCACGCATTGCTGCCGCGTGCCCTTCCCTCAAATCGGCACGTCACCAGCGCGTTGTTCGACAAAATGTTATGAAACTTCTGTGCTGACGTTGACTAGGGAGTTTGCATAGTTTTTCCTTGCAAATATGAATTTATTATCAGCACATGTCGTCTTTTGATCATTTGTTTCTTCAGTGGGAAGTTCGTTTTTCGATGCATCACATATTTGCCTCTCAAACATCTGATCTGTCAATGCGCCATGTTTACTGATCATATACTTCCCTTTGTTGTCAGCCCAGCCTGGATAAGAGGTTCATTTCGGCCTTAGGTATGTTTTATAACAACAGTATCAACAGTATCTTATTCGATACAACTTATGTCATCTTCCTCGATTTTTTCTTTATGATAACTAGTAACTATTCTTGCAAGTAAAAACTGTGGATGAAAAGAGACTGCTTCTCGTTCATCTTTCGTATAATCAATCAAAACATGAGACTAATCAATATTGAAATTCTGAAAAGTGTTTGTTTACATATATAAAATTATCGCATTTGCTTCGAACTTTAGGACATGAACTTTGAACTGAACTGAAACACAAGTTCATGATTAGTACTGATTTAGCACCGGGATGGGCAGGTATGTCAATATAGCAGTGCCCAGATATATATTGTACCTATTTGTCAATCAAAATTTGTATCAGATTAGCTTAAGTTTTCCTTTACATGGAAACTACTGGATTCAGTATTAAAGAACTGTTTTCTCCCTGTAAATGCCCATGCCATAATGCCCCCTATGTGCAAAATACATTCACCTGCTGTGTGCTGTTGATTCGTGTGATCATATAACGTCACCTTAATTTCAAGTTTTAAAATCAACTCAGGAAGCCGTTTGGGTATTTATTTCAAGCATAATAGGTTTTCTGTGATGTACATAACTATATAGTAATTCATAAGTCCTGGTCTTATATCTTGGTCTCTTTTTCTGCCCTCGTCAGCATGCCTTCAAAGATATTTTATTGCGATTATTTCTGGTGATTGGTGATTATCAGCAGTTTTTTATATAACATTCGAAGTACTTTGTTGCATGAGTGATGTTTCTGCTTCTGCAGTGGTGTCATTGATAACTTCAGTCACGTCATGTCAGATCAGCTTTCTTCACACATTAGTGCTGAAAGAATCCACTTATCTTCGACAGTTCCTTGAGAATTCATTGTTGAGATGAAATCAGTGCGAAGAAAAACGTTGTAGTCTAGCAGGAAACAAATGAAAACATAAATTATTGGCCTATTGATGCGCAGTTTGCTTTTAACAGTTTTGCTCGATGTGTGTTCTTGTTCAAGATAGTACTGATCATGTGATAGCGTGACCGGACGCACATGTGAATAAATTTTCTGTGTTTGCAGTTGTCTTGGAGCCAGAGTACTGCTGTGAACTCTTATCGTTGAGTCATCAATAACTGGGTGGCTAGGTATGTTCAGCTTATGGGCTTGGGTCGCATTTGTCTTTTTGCACTATTTTTTTCCTGCTCAGCGTCGGTCCCTTCTCTGTACTTCATTTCTTTGTTTTGTAGCTTCCATAAAGCAATTTTCAGCTATGACACTGTGTTAAAAGAGAAATCGATGGAATTGTGGTTCAACCTACTTAATCTGTACACAATCAAAGCTACAATCAGTACACTGGCATCGTTCTTGCACTGAACTTTTTCGTTATAAATTTATCGTGCTGCTATATTGTTGTGCGTCAGTTGTTATTATCGGGCTCAGATGTTTTACCGCATTACAACGTGAAAATTGCCCGAACGCTTTCTGTTGGACGTCATTTGCCATGCAAACGCCTACTCATTTCGCCATTTTCCTGATTCTTTCTGTGCTGCTTACCATTTTATCCCTTTCTTTAGATTTCCAAGCCGGAATATCAAAGTTAAGTGTGTAATGAGACGTTTCACGACTTAGCTGTCTTGTATCTATTTTCTAAAGCTATTTTTATTTTCTCGCCACTTCTACATTGTGGAAATCGTTCCAGTGAACTTTATGACATGTCAGTTTTCTTAAAATTGAGGATTCTACTTCAGTACATTGCCTCTCAGGCTCCCGCCAGAGTGCCGAAGTTATGCCAGCGCTACGCCAGCATTTCGATCGATACACGTGTATTTCGTTGGGGCGGGGCTAGCTGACGTCCCCAACGAAATACACGTGTATCGATCGAAATGCTGGCGTAGCGCTGGCATAACTTCGGCACTCTGGCGGGAGCCTCATTGTTTTTCGACCTTTTCGTTTGGAACCGTGAATCCCAACACTTTCTACACTCAAATATTTTTGAGATCACTTGTGTGAGAAAATCATTCAAAAGTTGTTATCTAACCTGTGGGTCCAATTTTTTGACTGGTTATCGGGAGATTTTCTTGCCATAGTTCCGTTATTTGACCATTCTTCGTGTTATTCCTACCAGTTCCGCTATGACGCAGTTCGACTTCGAGTGCAGTTTTTGTAATCTATTCTCTTCCCGAAATTTCCTTCGTAACACGCACAGAGTGTTGAGTTGTTCCCTTTTTCTCCAAGATTTTGGAGTGGGGTGATGGGCAGGTTATGAGATGACCGATGTTCTCTCGCTTTCGATTCTGCAACGGTGCTAGAACCGCCAAGTGAAAAATGTTTAGAAGTGACAGAAACAAAGAGATATTGCAGAAAGTGACGACTGTCGTGTCTGCTGTCTCTCATCAACTTCTCCTTTTTTTCAACGAGTGCTTTTCGAAAAGTAGATACGAATCACGTTTTCGGATTCTTAGGCAATTGCGGCGTTCGACTCTCAGTATCTCTAATCTCAGCTGATATGTTCGAGTCGGGTGTTCTGTACCTGTGCGATCTGATTGTGTGATTTCAAATCGATTTCACTTCAATCTCCCGGTTTTTCTTGTTGTTGTGCTTCTTTGAGACTAAGAAGGTGGATCGATGGGTTTCGTTACTTTATTTATTCAATTCAAGTACTTTACCTTTATTTCATGACTATGTCAAATTTATCGTTTTCTACAGGAACTTGCATACATAAGGGCAGTGAATTCAACTGTAGGATAACATTTCGATGTTGCACGTTAGAAATCGCTGTAGAATTCGAACTTTCAGGACTAGGCTTTTTGGTTTCCCTTGTCAATTTTTAGCCGTTGAAGGTGCAGTTATTAGAAGAGAACGAAATCAGAACTCGTTCTCATACTTGGAACATTTCGTGTTGGAAAATAAATCCCAATGAAATTATCTCGACGAGCATTCGAGTAGGCAATTGAATAATGTTACAAACAGCGTTTTGGTAGTTTGTGGGTTGGTGGGGCCCTACTTTCTCACGGGCGGAATCTCGAAAGTGGTGAGAATCTAGTAGCACTAAGAAACAATTTTGGCTGAATGTGTTCGTTACATGAGTTTTTTTTTCGCTCATGTGTGGCCGCCATCACTGATGCTCTACTTCCACTTGAGTTTGAGTTATAGTTTTGGTCTTCTTATGCCATCTTCAGGCGGATGCTTGATATTTCTGTGTATGTTTTCCATGGCATCGTTATTTAAACTGGTTCGCATACCTTAAACTCGCTTTTCAAAAATTGGAAGTTTCAGATGTTAGAAGACGAGGAAACTGCTGAGTTATTGAAGCGACGTGCTGCTCACGGTCTAGATCGGCCACCAGGGTCCCGGTCCATACTAACGCAAGCAACAACTTCTGAAAAAATCCTATGGTTTATAAAAACACCCATCAGGTACATCATTTTGCACATAATCCTCCCTTTCTTTTGCAGATATCTTTTCAGAGCTGTTATGTGCTTATCACTAGTAACAGTATTCTTTCTTACATACTTTGGATTTATGATCCCAGTGATGGGATTGCGCACTATTTGGTGAGTGGTACTACCATTATTTATGTTTCAAGTTGCTTCTTTTTTGCCTGTCTCTAGCTCAGTTTCCTCATTCCTATTCGTTAAGGTGCTGTCATTTTGAGGTGATTTCTAATTTTTTTTGCAATCGGACTTCATCACATTTTTATTTCGTACAGCATAAGTATCCTTGATAGAGCTGGTTTATCCTCATCATTGTTCACTGCATGCCAATTTATTGTTTTAGGCATTGAAATCGACTAGAGAAAGTGTTAACGGTCATCTTTTTCGCTTTTTAGTTCCCACAGCTGCTTTAATCCGTCATTAAAATTGTTTAGGCTGTTTAGATCGCAGAGGCGTTTGTCGGCGATATTCGTCTCCAACAGTTGAGGGTGAAGGTTTTTGAGTCCATTATCTGTGCAATTCATAGCTTTTTCTGCAATTTCACAATCTTAACATTGAGTTCTTTGCATCCTTATTAGAAACAGTACGGTATCATATCAGTTGTGGCAGGCTTGCCATCCTTCGCTATTATAATGTTTCAGAATCGCTGTTCTTGTATATCTGATTCTATTGAACCTATTATCGCATATTCACTACCATGTTCGCATAGCCTGCGTCATCTGCATTCTGTCGCGTGCGATTTTAGCACTTCAGTAAAGATTTGAAAGAGCAAGTATTCAGGCCACGTCTCTACTGGTTTGTTGAAGGCAAGCTTTATCGGTGGCTGCAAGGATTTATTGGGACTTGGGGATACACTGCTGGATACGACGGTAAGTAGTCTCAATATCTACTGTTTTCTGGCATTTATCGTTTCATATTGTTTTCCATGTGTCATTCTCTATCTATATATGCCTTTTTTGATTTGGTAATCCTTATTTACGCCCGCTTTGGTTAGTCTTGTCTGCTGTATAACTTCAAGCTTCTTGCCACTTCGCATTTTCATATGACGCGCGTAACCAAACCTGATATCGTTTTACGATATTGTCAAGGTGAGATTTGCCGGCGCGTGTTGCATATGTCGAAAAACAAGGTAATGTTTGGACCTTCTGAAATATTGTGGACGCTTTAAGTTTAGATAAGAGAAGAATTCAGATTTTCTATTTATTGATTGGCTTGGATGTCTTATCGCAGGATCCGGCCAGACTTCGTTAAAAAGCGCGTAAAAGCGCCCAAATGTCTCTAAGTCTCTTCACTTTCTCTGTGAGGAGAGATAGAGAAAGTGAAGAGAGGCCAGAGAAATTTGGGCACTTTTCGACTCTTATGAGCGCTTTTGGGCGCTTTTGGGAAGTCTGGCCAGGGCCAGAGGCTAAATTTTTACTTGTCTCTTAAGATATTTTTTCACTGCAAAGGCTATTGCAAATGAGGCTACTCTTACTCTTACTCAAAGGTTCCAGTAAGAATTGAGTATAGATGTGTATTAAGGAAGATGAGTGTGTTTTTTGATGAAACGCTTTTGCGCATTGCTTATTTTGAGGAACAGTGCAGTTTATATGTCATCCGTGATATTTCACTTTCCGAACTGAGTGGCATTGCGAGCAATCAACTTACCTGTTCCTGTTGTTGTTTGTTGCTTTGCACTAGATTGCAATGACTCATGCACAAAATCGACCATTCTACTGGTGATGCAAAAGCTTTGGAATCTTCGCTCAGTGCGAATCAGCCAAAGTCCTATTGAAATACAATTATTGCAAGACCTTGCTTCCGTAGGTAATACAAACTGTCAAGCGTGAAGGTGGGGGAACGAAAGCCGCCAGTTTGGGTCGCCTCCGCGGACTGCTGGTCCTGAAACGACATGCAACAACACTGCGAAAGGACCAGCTGGCCGCGAAAGGCAGCTCAAACTGGCGGCTTTCGTCCCCCTACCCCAAGCGTGACATATTTTTTTGGAATTGATCATATCATGGTCCGTCGGGTCACTCAGGGCTTGATAGCAAAGGCTTGCTGAAAAAGGCCGAGCGTGAACGTGAAACGTGATGTACATTTTACTTGGCTATGTAACCTTTCCTAAATTCTGAAATAAGTAATATCATCGCACTAATGCACTCTTTATAGGTATGGGAGAAGAGCAGGGGGGGGGTCGCTTATTACTCCACTGTCACATTTTATAGTCTCATTGGGACCAAATAAGCAGAAGAATTAACGACAAAGCTTAAACAGTACATAGGATTTACAAAGGTGTTGAACACTCATCAGACTTCTATGCGACAAAACTTTTTTGCAGCAGCAGCAGCAGCACGAGTACTTCTAAAGTAAACTGTTCCATCATCTTGATTTTCTAGGTTGGGTGAATTACTGTTAATTTGTGAAAGACGTATGCATGTAAATCATTCGTAGTAGTGGCTGTTGCCCCAGCATTCATTTGCTAGCGATTACTTTTGGCTGTGACAGTGCACAAATAGATCGTTGCCATCGTTCCTTACTATATTCTTCTGGCACCATCGATACATCGCTTAGTGTTTCAATGGTCGTGCTGGATAGCAATCGTAATCATTGAGCGTACAAAGGGCAACAGCGCAGTTAGTCAAACTGGATCGTTTTTTTTTTCACAAGCTATGCAGTATAAGTTTGCGAAAAAGCAGAGTGGATCTGGGCAACCTTTGGCATTATTATATGTGCAGTTTTCCATATTTTCCACCATTTATGTAAAGTCAGTTATCATCGAGATAATAGCCATTCGCAGTTGTATAATGAAAAAAAAATCCGCATCTGGTTGTTGTTTGTGTACGATAGGTATTACGACCATTGTCTGCTGGTGTGGCACTAATCATGAGCAGGATATGCTGTATTCAAGCCCAAATAGAATTGTTCCGTCTAATGCAATACAGCGGTGCGATAGATGGTAACAGGAAAAAAGATAATTTGGTCAGCTTCTTACATCTCGGCTTATCCCACGATAGCAGCTATTATGAAATGCTCATAAGTCTATCGCAGATTTAAAAGCTTTCAGCTAACGCCACACGCGGCAGGCTGAGATTGATTTGGGGCCATGAGCTGAGCAGCTCAAATGTTGAGCCCCGTATTGCAGCTTCACTGTTTAGTCAAGCTGGGCTGGGATCAGCGATAGGGAGGGAGTAAGTTGGAAAATCATATACTAGATGCAAAGCATGAATGTTGTGGGATCATTTAATTGAAAGTCTGCTCGTCATTGCTAGCAGTTCCGAGTGTTTGTTGTATCGATCTTGCTCTATATCTTCCGGCAGCGTAGCACAATTTTTTTTTTCGCAAGGCATTGTTTAGTATGTGCGTTTACTCTTTTTCCCTTAATGGGTTATCTTTCCAAAAAGTATGCCTCTAGCGGCCACAAAGCTTTAAAAGTGTGCCTGCTAAATTCATCATTTTTTCATTTTCAGTTTTTGAGTATGGAGATGATGTCACTACATACTACAGAGATGAAAGAGTATTGGTCATGTGCAATCATCAGAGCACAGCTGATGTTCCTACACTAATGGCATGTTTACAAAGCAAAGGTGTTGCTAGCCGAAAGGTGTGTTCAGATGAATGCATTGATATAGTGCTACAAAGAGTGCTAAACACAGTAAACAAGTTTTTTCTAGACTTTGTGGCTGATGGATGTCATGTTCCGATGGAGCCCATTTGGAATTGTTGGTAATAACCACGGTGACTATTTCATTCAGCAAGGAAAAGCTACTCGAGAAAAGGAAATACAGAAGTCGGTCTGACGGTCTGAGTATCAGCATTTTCAAGTCTTCATCAAGAACTATTTTGAAGGCTAAAACAACATCTGAGAGAAGTATTTTGGGATCGTGATCGACGTTGGGTCATACTCTTCCCTGAGGGTGGCTTCTTCCACAAACGTGTGGAAAGCAGTCAGAAGTGAGGCTTTCATCTTCATAGTGGGTTTGCTGCATCATGAGAAATCATTTGCGCTTGCAGGTATGGAAAGCTGAATGGTTTTCCACACCTAAAGTACACAACACTTCCTCGTATGGGTGCGGTGAAGGCGATATTGGAAGAGGTATGGTGAATATGTTTTCTATCATAATCATGATGGCTTTACTAGCAGTGCTCGTTTTCAGTTCTAAAGTCAAATCTATCTGTGTTGACCATCAATCTTTTGGTTGCCTCACCTATTTCATACTGCGACTTTTATTGCATCAAACTTTTCATAATTTGCAGACCTTAGAATGTATCCAGTCGCAGATTGAATTAGTCTTTATTGCATCTCTTTGGTTAGGCTTCCAATGAAAACCATAAAGTTAGGAATTCATGTAGGAAAAACTAACATATTTTCGTTCTTCTTCCGTCGCTGTACTCATATAAACAGATTTCCAACTGTTTCGAGGCTCTGTTTTTATTGCTTGTTCGTATGCCGGTATAGGCTTCGTTAAATTGACGCCCTCACCTTGCGGCTTGGCTGGCTCGTTTAAGATTTTTTATCCTTTTTTTCGGCCGCTTGATGACTTTCTTGTTCAAACTGCAGGAGCGACACACAAGGAAGAGAGCCTGCAGATACGTTTTTTAACTACAGAAAGCGACGACGAGACATTACTAGAATATCGCGCATTTTCACGTCTCTTCTTTGCTTTATCTTACTCTAAGAAATTCAATCATGAGTGACGCTCCTGGAAAAGTAAGAAAACATGGATGTCGTTTTATTTAACGCGTACGCAACGCCATCCGCCAATGTGCACATTATTAGTAAACCGGTTCCGCGCCTCAAAATAGTACCAAAGCTCTGGTGTTTCCCAAAGTTTTATTGACATGGGGCACATTTCTTTTGTTTTTGATTATTTTTTTGGGTTCATCTCGATGGTCTATGCGATGAACTACACGCGAATATCTTCAGATTGGACCTCGAGATGAAGAAGAGGAATCAAGAGAACGCAGTTCTAGCAAACTAAAGCTCATCGCAGATACTGTAGGAGCAATCAGAGAAAAGAAATATGTAAAAGGCAAGTCATTTCTTGATCATTCTCGACTTTTGACCTCTGTAAAGTCGTTTTCGGTCCATTTGTGTTGGCCTTTACGCTTACTTCGGTATCTAATCTTAATTGCACTGCGCTGCATTTGCAGCTGAGCTGGCATAGTTTTCGTCACTTATCATTTGTTGACTTTTCATCTGTAGCAGCATTCTCTTATTCAAAACATTCTTCCATAGAGGTGACCGATACTAAGGCAAAACTATATGGTCGTGTGACTGATTTGACACCGGGTTGACAGAGCACATGAAAAAGCAAACAAAGCAAGAGAGATCTAACAAACAATTCAAGAAATGACAATGATAATGATCATACTCGTATGGTAAGGTCAGAGGATAACAATAGCGGCAGTGCTTCGTTCATATAAGTACCAGTTGAGCTTGAGCTGGAACGCCATATTTTGTCTTGTTTGCTTCGAATAGTTCTTGCAGTCTTGTGATGTACGTTTTGTGCAGTTCATCAACTTGTTCTTGCGTAGGATTGGGAGTTTTGACAACTTTGATTGGAGCCCCCAACACTGTGTTTATTGGTTTCCTGTAATTTATACGTTTCCCAGTTTTCGAGGGCTACGTAATGTCTAGAATTTAACCGTTACCTGTAAGGTAGTAACCCAAAATTGTAGTTGAAGATTCCTCGACCATGGAAGATGGGAGGTGAGAAGCCAAGAATGTCTTTTAGCATAGTTTGGATCATTCTTGTGGTGGAGCCTTTCGGGTTGTCGACCTAGAACTTGTATTGATGTAGATATTCATTTCGCCCTGCTGCAAGACCATTTCCAAAATACACAGGTTGTCAGTTCAATCAAAAATCATAAAGCTGATTATACCGATTAACAATTATTACCTGGTCATAAATTTCATTTTCGCCGAATGAATAACAAGGGATTAATTGGGCACCGGTCATCAAGGCCAGCCGAATAAATCCTTTGCGTTTATGAATCGTTAGTATATGATGTCCAGGATGTGCGTCAAGTGCTTCCTCGGCTCCACCAATTACTAGCACACAGGCTTTTCCCTAAAATTTGAGAGTTTTAAGAAAGCAAATTATCTTTGGGCTAGTCATTGTTTCACCTTCTTCCCAGTTAGTATATGAGTCAGACTTTCCCTGCTGCAGTCAATCATCCCATGCAAAAGACCCCACTCCCTTCGAACAGGTGTGTAGAACTGGCCAACGAGAGTGCACAGATGGAAATCGATCTTTGGAAACATTTCCAGTATTCCTGTTCCATTTGTAGCAAAGTTCACAAATGCGGACATCGAAATTATTCCGTGCGGGTGGCTTCCAATCAGGTAATTCTGAAAAGAGACATTTTGATAGAGCAAGTGAGAGAATGTTACTTCCTCACCTCATCAGGACTGAGTTCTGCAGTTTTGTGCAATTTGACTGGGAAGTAGTTGGCGTACCAGTCATGGATTCGTTGTCGCATGAACCAGGTAGAACGATACGCTCCTCGTCTTGGTGAATCCCAGTCATAATATAACCATACGGAGTAGGCGACTACCAGGGGCCATAGGCAGGAGAAGAACTAAAGGTCATGTATTATCTATATGTATTTCACAAGAGTTATGACTGTATTATGTGTTATTTCCGTAAAAAATATCCTTTGTTGAAAAAAGGAGGGAATTCTCGAATTTCGCAGTCAGTTGATTTTTCTAAAGGTTGACTGTCTTATCCGACTCTTGAGAATTGGCAAATAGGATAATAAACCTTGTCGCTCAAAAGCGTATCATTATCGATACATGAATCGGCTTAAATCAGAGAAATTTCAACTTCTTGTTCTGACACATTATTTTGAAGTCCGTGTGAGAATGAGGAAATTAGACCCACCAAATAAATAGGTAGAAGCATCGTCAGTACTGGCAGTATTAATGATATCATGACGAAATGTATGGCTCCCAAGGTTTGAAGTCGCCGCTCCCATGGGACGTTTAGGGGAGCGAAATCTATCCCTAGGAGCTGGGTCATGTCCTGAAATGGGCACATATGAGTTGTGGAAGATTTCCTAGCTTCTTAGCCATGGATATCCTTAGTTAGATAGTTATTAAAAGGAATAAGGTCCTGATTAGACTTTTCGAGCTGCTAGCAGCCTAATGGCGCTAGCTCAGCCGGAATGATCAATAAACCGCGTTCTGTCATTTCGGTATTCGCGAGAACATGAGCGAAAGCTAGCTTGACCAGGTGCGTTTTCGCGAAAAAGAAAAAAGGTGGAGCTTATCAGTTTCTGTCGTTGATATCTGCTTGGGTGTTCGCTCGCCTGACTAGGTAGATAAGCGCTGAAAAAGGCTAACTGTAGAAGCAACCCGTTCAGTGTGAGAGGGATGGGCGTGACTGTAACTGGTCGTTTTGGAGTGAAAACACAAAGACAAAGTGGTGTGGTCATGGTAAACAATAAGCTAAAGAGGAAGAGTGTTTGTTACGTTGCGGAATGAGTGTTGAAAGTGTTTATGTTTTTAAGGACAAAAGCAGCTTATCACGGTTCAGTGAATTTCAAAAGAGGTGAGAGACGCGGAGACCAGTGCCTCCTATTCTCATTATTGGCTCTTGAACTTTTATCTAGGACAAATAAGAATTTTGCGTCATAATGTAGAACGCCTTTGGCCCTATAAATAATCAAAGTATAAATTTGATCATAGTGCTGAGTCGAAAGCAGCTCTCAGAAGTGTTACGAATAATGTTCTGAAGAATCTGAAGGGTCTTTTTTGCAGGTTTCTTTGGCGGGTTTTCACAGTTTTTTGCCTATCAAAAGAAGATTCTCCAACTGGAGCCAGTCGCGGTCACGCGTAAGAAGATCGAGCGCGCAGTGGTGTTCTTAGAAAAAACGCACAATTTTGGATATTTGCACGGTGGGGATAATAATAATGACGAAAAATGATTTCAGGTGCATGAAATAGTGAAATGGGAGTAGAATTGGGGAAAAATGACGGTTGCCGTGGTATTCGCATGCAGACTAATAAGTTTTTGAATGCAGTCTTTTCCCTACTTCCCTGGGCAGATATAATCGAAAGTTTACCACATAGAGTTTTGTAAATTTTCCGTTTAGTATAGTGTGCTTGCGGTGCCAATATTCTGCGAAATTGCGCGTGAAGAGTTGCGGTAGGTGCCAGACTTCTCAGATTCAACCGATTCATGCGGTTTATCCATTGGCTGCTGGTCAAATCACTGAACTGACCAATAGCGAATAGGGTGAATAGGATGAATCGGTTAAATTGGCTAAGTCTGCCCCCACCTACGCCTACAGTGCCGGTCACCTGCATGCGCGAGATGCCGGCATTACCGGCAAGGCTATATGTTACGCGCAAATTTCGCCCAATCTCGGCACCGCAAGTACACTATATCAAGCGAAAAATCTGTGACACTGTAAATGGCCGGTTCAAGATTTTGCACTCTATAAACTGCCAGAGCTGTCATTTTAGTCCTTAGCGTGTTCACATAATTTCCAGAAGCTAAAGTATAATCCAATCAGAAATAAAACAGAAGAAACTCCGATACGGAGACCGAGTGAGCAACGCAACATATACAACTGCCGCGTATGTCATGACTTGTGAATGCCCTATACACAGCATCAAATGAACTTGGAATTTGCGAAGTGCTCCGAGTGCGGCCTTGAACAGCTGTGCATACACGAAATACAAAATGTCAAGTAAACGGGCCTGAAACTCCTCGCCTAACCGCCTCAAAAAAGCCTTGGATGGTGTAAGTGAATTGACGCCACTCTGTGATAACGACTTTTGGTACTAACTCGTGCCCAGTTTAGAAGGTGAGAACGGATTGACAGAAGTGATTATGCTATCTTTTCTGTCAAACTGAATGCGCTAACGTAGAGAATGTGACTTAATTTTTTTCAAGAAAAGATTACCAATGACATCAGCGGTCGGATTTTGGCTAGTATATGAAATTCAGTAAAGCTTCTCTTTTCAACTACCAGCTACAAGCTTTTCTTTCACTGACATGATTGAGTACAGCACCCGTATATTCTTCCTTTGTCGTATGTCTACCCATTTTTTCGTTGTTTTCCCCTCAGTCAGTTATCGTCCCTTCTTTGTTCTTGAGACCTATACAAAATGTCTTCTTGCCTATTTACGTTTCCTCTATTTCTGAAAGCTAAGGGGTTTTTTATTTGACATCATATCTTTTGGAGTTATCTGCAAACCTTTTTTTGTTCTTCAGGAAAATCATCCAACATGTGCAAAATGACTCCTTATATTCTTTCTTCTTTTTTACTTTTGCTAAAGGACTTTAGTTAATTCTCAATCTGTTCTTACCTATCAATACTATCTTCATTTGAAACTGAGTTTCAAGAGTGTATAGTATAGTCATTTGTCATCGGAAAAAAGGACAGCTGTTCTGCGTAAGTTCGAATTTTTCACGAAAAGTGTCTTGACGTCATTTTACATCAAGTGCATTCTTACGCAGATGTGCTGTTGGAAGCCCTTGACTAATGAGCAATCGCAGAGGGGATATTCTTCATGTTTTTTCTGAAAGCTCAAAAAAATGTAGACAGTAGCGTCGTGAATGAGTTGAATAAAATAGCTGTCCTTGTTTGGTCTCACTTCCCTGTGCCCTTCCCTTCTCCTTTGGGGAGATTATGGATAATCTCATTGAGTTTTTTGTTTCTTTTCAGAAACTCGCCCGCCGATAAAATACGTTTTGGACGTTACGATTGCTTATCCCAATGGAATTCCTCTTAGTCTTGTTTCGCTTGGTTTCGGCACACGTGAAAAATGCGACATTGCCGTAAATTACAAAATCTACAATGCAGACGAGGTTTGTACCATCTATCATAGCTTTCTACTTCAGAACTAACAATCGGGTTTGCGACTACAGGTATGTTTAGCTAGTTCCTATCTTTGATCTGTGTTGGATGTTGTTTGCTCAGTCAGCTCGCATTAAAAGATAAACATCTGTCGGTTTTGATGCAAAGCAAATCACAGAGTAACGTATAAGTGTGTTGAAGTAGTTCAACAATAATGGGATTGTAGATCTTGGATCAACATGTCGAGCGACGAGCATAGCCAAAGAATTAATGTTGTGCAGTTGTTTGCGTGCAGCAATTAGTAGCTCTTAGGTCTATGACCATTTGAATAATTAACTATCTGGTTCTATTTCCATGGAAGGTCTTGGAAGTAGGTGCAGAAGATGCTGATTTGCCCGGCTTGCTGTTAAATAACGTAAATTCTACGGATTGCAGAACTATTTTTTTGTATAATTAGTGCGCTTTGCAAAAACTTTGTAGCAAATTCATAATTTCTATGAGCGGCGGCTGAATACGAATACTTCGAACACCCTTATAACACTATCTAACAGATATAATAAAGAGTTATAGCAAAAGACGTCTGCTAAAAAATTTGATCTACACGCGTTATTTGTAAAGGCTTGCTTCATTTGTAGGATAAGGATAACGCTGGTTTTTTTTTTTGAAGTTTTTTGAAGTTTAATGCCATGATCGATTTTGCTAATAAAGGAACGGCTTCAACCTTTTTTTTCTATGATGAACTATCACTTTTGAGATCGTTGGAGCGGGCAATTCGAAGACGGTTCACCAATTAAACAACCGTAATCCATTCGAAACATATAATAATAATGAATGAGCTCATTATTCAGTGGAACGTGGACGGCGCTATTTTCGATGCATTTCCAAAATTGGAACGTTTGCGTGATTAGAACAAGTTCACTATCTTTGAAACTCCTTCACACGAGATGTGTACAGTCATTGTAAAGTTAACTACGTCGTCCTTTTGACATATTAACGTACTATTGGCACAATATACAACAATCTTCCTCTCATAAATGAGAAAAGATATAGAGAATAATTAGGAACTGTAAGTGAAACAGATTAGACATGAGAACAACTTTTTTGATTTAATGAATTGGCAAAAAAAAGTGAAATATCGAAGCGAGTAGTTTCTTTTGGGGGTTAAATAGAGTTGTCACGTGAAAGGCCAAGCAGATTATCCTTACTTCTTTATTCAAAACTATATTAAGCTGAGCGTCCAAAGTGTAGTAGCTGTGGTTGGCAAGTAAAATCAAAGGATGCCGCGAAGGGGTTGCCTACAGAAAGTATGAAAGAACTGAATTTCTTAGATAGCTCAGTTTTATCTCATCTAAGATTGCTCCGCGCCACTTTTTATTCATTGTACCGTGGCCTTTTTTTTTAAAATGTACTTTTGTAGATTCTATCTTATGCTTGAAACAAGAACATACTTTCGCATCCTGATGAGGGATAACTCATGTGAAATAATTTCTTACTTGATTTGCAGGTTCCATTTGACGATGAGGAGAAATTGCGTGACTGGATGTATGAGGTGTACAAGGAGAAGGACGAGATGCTAGGTAAGATACTTCTCGCTGAAATGTACTGAATCATTCGCTGTGGATGATGTAAGTGGGAGAGGAGAACATAGAATCACGTGAAGGAAGTTCAAAAGGGGCGAGAAGGCCTCAAAAGTTCATATGTTGGAATGACCGAGGACAGATGAATAAATGTGCCTTCCAAATTGGCAGAGGCCGCTCCTGCTAGTGTTTCTCCTTCCTACTGGCATTTGTTACTATTTGAGTGATCCAGTGTAAACAGCAAAGAATGTCATGGGTAGCAGGAATGAAATACCAACAATGAAGTTTCTTATTGAGACTATCCGACTTTCCGTTATCAGCGCTTGTGTAAAGGCGGGCGTCTCGCACAGGTGACCTTTGCACTTCTCACGAATTCTCGGAAACAAATCGAAGATCGGCTTGTGGACATCGATTTTTCGAGATAGCTCAGTTTTGTGTGCAAAAAATTCTAGTTGTTAGACCTTGCGGTCAGAGTTTCTGTTAACAAGTTTGCATCGAACTTCAGTTTTTTCCCCAATATTTCGTTTTTTTTTTCGTGAAAATTTTAGCACTTTCAAAACTTAGTCTCAAGAAAGCTAAAAAATTTTCTTGGTCGCTGTTCAAAGAATTTGTAGTAGATAATAATTAGACATCTTTCAAGACCTTAAACTCCTTTATGATATATGTGTATATGAAAAGCTCTTTGTAAATTCAGCATGTGTAAATGCTCTGCAGCGTAGAACATATGAGCTAGTAGTCTTGACGACAATCATAGTGTTTTTGCGTTACCGACAAAACTTGCGCGTCAAAAATGTCTCTGTATCAAGCAAGCTGCCGGCATACACAAGAAGACGTTTGTTTCCGGCAGATGTTGTTGAGAACGCAGGAACGGTTTATTTATCTCAGATTCTGCTAGCCTATAAATATCACCTCTAAATTATTGGATTAGCATACTCTCAGTCCATGTTCGTGAACTAAGGCAACATGAAGTTTTTACACACATCTGCTTCCATGCCGCGTTTTAGAAAGAAAACTTGCCTTGAACTTATTCTTTTACAGCTAGGTACTACGAAACTGGCGAGTTTCATGAAGGAGAACGTGGAACTCGTGTTGTATTTTCATGGGCAAAAATCATTGGGCAGTACGTGTTCTGGTTTGGGTCCTTCTATGCTCAATATCAGGTCAGTTTTTGTAATGTTTTTTTCTTAATTTTTATCGTCGCTATGCGCAATGTCATGTTATAGGTTTATTCATGGATCCTTAAACAGATATTTCTGATACTTGCTTCGCCTTTTATGTAAGAGTTGAGATTGTGTCACTCTTCTTTTTTGTATCCATAGTTTCCTCATTGAATATGGGCCAATTCTGAGCTTCCAGTGAACTGAGTGTTCCCAACACTTGTCTATAGATCTATTTCGATAGTCCTTCAGTCTACCGTTGTTATCCATCCTTGCGGGTGATTATTCTGTCGACAATTTATCATCTCGAAGACTAGCCAAATAATCGATTTGTTTTCAAGTGAGGAGCACAAAATAATTTCTCATTAATAGCTGATGTTGTCAGTTTTTCTTGATGAAGCAACTGATACCCAAAGCATTAACCTCTGTACAAGCTTTAGTTGTATCGATTTTGTACCATAGTTATTTTGCTGCAGTTTGTAACTTTTCTTACTCCGCTTTTCTTTATCGCTACACTTTCCTTTTTCTCTTCGAATCATGATATTGCTCTAAGCATAATGACATTTTTTGAAGGTCTTTGTGTTGCATCTGTGCAAAAAAAAGTCGGTGATTTCATTTTTAACAATAAATAAATGATCGAAATCATATGAATGAAAACCATCAACTTGGCGTAGCCAAATAAAATTATTGTAACAAACAATTGTTCAAACAGGATATTACGAGAAACATCATCCAACTTCAACTAGACAAAGACATTTTAGCATTATTGAGACCAACGGTTATACGAGTATAATACAACGACCAAAATAGGACTAATATTAAATATCTCAAAGAGGAGGGTTTGTTTTGATCACAATGCCAGAAATACATTGCCTCATTCGAGGTGATGGTGTGAAAGGACTTTGAATAACGATATAATAATAGACTGTGGTTGTATCATTGATTGTTCTTCTATTCGATGTAGAGATGTAATTTCAGATGACAAACGTTTTGGCAAAGATGGTTTCAAAGATGTAAAAGCACAAGCAGAGATATTGATGAATATAGACAATCACTTGGGTAACCCAGATTGCAACGTTTGTTTCTTCTTCATCCGGTTGAGGAGGTTGTTGAGCTGGAAATATTATTCGGAGGAGATTATAATTTATTCACTGAGGCTGGTCAAATCAAATCCAAGACGCCATCTTCGTAAGCTCAGATACTAGTTCGTTCATGGATGGAAATCCCATAGAACCCATAGAATTTTGAATGCTAGTAAGAAGGGGCGCCAAGAGAAGCGATGATATGGAAAAATTATGGAACATCTTTAAAAATGTTTTGGGGCACCGACCGTGCGCGCGCTCAAAAGCAAAGGATCAAGTTTTCAAAGGCTCTTCATACTGATCCTGAAGTCTGGGAACAGTTCCAGCACTTACTTCAAGCGCTGTGTTGAAACTGTCACCGGACTTCCGGATAACTATGAACGCAGCCGAAGCGATAAGTTGAGTACACAGAAATCGTCAAAATCGGCAGGTGATTCGAACATTTTTCCAAAGAGGGGGGAGGATCTCGGTCGCTACTGACAGCAAAAGGCGCTAGCGCATGTGCGGACGGGTCTTCTGTGGATAGAAATCACTTGCAAGGCAATCCAAAGTTGCCAAGGACAATGTGTGCACAGAAGTACACATGGGACTTTTCCCCCACTCTTACGTAAGTTCTTCGCGACGAGAACTTCAGTTAAAGGAGTAGACGCAAACTTAGAAGAGGTGGCAATGTCCATGTGGGAAGCCCTCTCCATGGAGCTTTCACGTTAGGTCGCGGGCACATCTCGCGCGATTCCAATCAACAATGATTTGATGACGCCAGCTCTAGATCTCTTCAGCTAACGTTCAACGCAATATGCGTCGCGTGTATAACCTCAAACTGATGATGTTCCATCCTGTAAATATTCAAAATGCGCTCACACGGTTAATGTAGTGCCGAATCGCGTAGCAACCATGGTCGAGCAAGAGGTGTGGTACACGACCGCCGAATACGCCCCCCCCCCCCTGGGTTCCGTCTCGATACCCCCCCCCTTAGCCAAGCATAACTAGTAGCATATTCGCAATTGTTATGTCAAATAACCTCTGTGGGCCATGTTTTAGCAATTTCTGAGGATTCCCGAAATTGGGCCACTCAAGTGAAGTGGACATTTTCAAGCATGGTCAACCATATTTCAAAAGTGAATTGGGGGTAAATTAGGTGATGCATGAGTTGCTCAAATTTGCTAACTTGGAATCAATTCAAAACAGCAATTTGAAAGTCAAAAACCCATGAAAATGCAGTTTAGAACAAATTCGTAAATATTTCGGTCTATTATTCAGCAAAAGCCATCAACTCAGCTAGTGGTAACCTCAGACAGGTAGTAAGCCAAGGCACTTTATCTGGTACTTTTGAAGACGCATGGCACCAAACTTGAGTTTGAGTTGGTGACAGCTGAAAAATCGCGCCTCTTGACCGTCTCCCGTGAATTAGCTGCCTTTCGTACTCATTACAAAGCACTACTTTCTATTTGCCTACACCATGAATCCTGACTATAGATAGGAGCCAGCCAGAATCTCGTTTGACCACTTTCCGCTCGCAGTGGTTGTCTTTCTGCAACTATTCTTCAAACGACAAAAGACCAATTCAGCTCCAATTACTTTCACAAAAACTACGAAATTTTTGCTATCGAACTGTACACATTTTGTTCCCTAACATTCTCCTTGACGGTAAGTTAATGAAATGTGACACAACCCCAGAAAAGCTGTGGCTGCCACACCTTAGGGTTGTGGCACACCCCACTGACTTACCTTAAAACCATTCAAATACTTGCGTTTTTTATATCTGTTACTGCTCAACCTTCTTCTTTATATAGCAAAAATTTCATTTGAAATTGTTTCTTCTAGGGAAAGATATAATAGCTTTTTCTTACCTATGCAAATAAAAGATACTGCAAAAATATTGGGTTACGGTAATATGCTAAGTCTACGCTACTACGCCAATTGCGAGGGAAGGCGACAAGAATGTATGTATTCGAGACTTTCAATTGACTGAGTTTTAATGTATGCTAGGGCCACAGCATGCAGAAAAAGTACCTTTTCAGCCTTGGAAGAAGTAACTGTTGCGGGACCATACATTTCTCCTTGTGGAATCTTCGGGGCAGTGTTGACTTGAGCAGAAGCAGGAGTTGCTGAAAGAAGCATGTTCTATAGATGATCGGTAAGCTGCTTTGAGAATTCAGAGATTGAATTGTAAGAAGTTTCTGTAGACTTTTCTAGCAAAAAATGTTACTTGAAAGAATTAAGCATGACAAAGTCAAGCCAATCAAAAACAAACCGGAATGCGCTTTCGCTTTTCCTTTCTCTTCATTAACCTTGTGTATGTGTCTATCTTTTTTGCCATCTTTCTCATGTTCTTTCGATGACGTTCGTTTTCTTTCTAGAACAGAAGTTGATATTCCAAAAAATAATACTGGCCTAATCTCACCATCTGTCTTCGATTTCTCATTCTTAGATCGATCCCTGCTTCTTGATCTTGACTTCTCTCCATTCTTTCTTCTTTTGTGCTTGCGTTCCTCAGACTTCTTGTCATCTAGAATTATCTATGCGTAGCGTACTCAAGCAGAAAAATTCAGCGCACCTTTGACGCGCTCACTTCGCCGACGACTTCTACTTCTCGAATCATCTTCCTCTTTACTAGTTTTACTGAATCTTCTTGGCGGTGAGAGCGAACTAGACTTCCGTCGCCTAGATCGTGATCGGTCTACCGTGTCTTCTTCTTTTCTAACTCGTCGGTCTCCCGCGTCTTCTTCTTTTCTTCTCTTTTTCTTCGGTGCGTCTTCCTTCTGAAAACATCGTGAAAGTCGTTCCGCATCTTGAAACACAAGAAATGCATAGTTCGAGTCTGCTAGATGAGAACTGTATATACGACACCAGAACATTCCAGCGACGACACAGAGCATTACTATACATAACCCGCATGGATAACCGCCTAACAGCCAAAATGTGCAGTTGCGAACAATTAAGAATGAAGATCTATTGACTGACTACCAATTCTGTGCAGCGATTTTCAGAATGTGGATTTGTGATTGCCAGTGAGCAAATGAGGATTTCCAACTCCTGATATTTTATCTGCTCAAAAAAGATTGATACTTGCGAGTGACTTTTTGATTATTCATGTATTAGCATATGAGAAGCTAAACAAAGCGCTCTAAAATGAAATAGACTTGGCCTTGCGAACGCCAACGATAATACAGTAAGATACAAAAGCTATACTTTTTGAACTTGGACGCAGCAAACTGCAGAAAACTCAAACATATGCGCTTCACAGAGCGATGTAATTTTAAAAACCTCAAGCAGCTAAATTTTCTTGGGTAGTGGAGGGAAATTCGGAGTAACAACAAAAACCGATGGGAGTCCGTCTCAGACGACACTCTCTTTCTTCCTTGTTGACTGTTAAATAAGCATTACCTAAAGCGATGCACATGATGTAAGACATAGATGAACCTGGTGATTGTTCACTTCAATACTTGCTTCTGTCCTAGCAAGACACAAGCCACAAATATTCCTCAAAATCTTTTAGAGTAATGCTACCAAGTAAGAATGGTAGATTTCGAAGTCCGAAAGATAGAATAGGAAACAAACACTAGTCAAAATCTCAAACGCTGACGTGCAACTGCACCTGTTGATGGACAGATGCTTCAATTGCTGTACAAAGCGAAAAATATGAAACAAGTACCAACCTCTCCTTCCTCGACGGTCCGCTTTCTAGATGACAGACTTTTTCTCATTTTTATTTCCAGATCCTTTGGCGCTACGCTTTCCTCCATCTCTTCATCGTCACAGCTCTTCCGTAATCTTGCAGCAATTTCTTCCTGTCTATCCTTGTTTCCGCCCTGCTCTTCAACTGTTCCGTGATTTGTTTCTGGAGTTGGTGCGTCGCTATGTAAGACTTCGCCAGGAAGCAGCAATTCTTGTATAGAGTGATCAACAACATCCAGCAGAACTTTGGGCTTTGCCGGCTCCTCTTGAGATGGTTTGGAGTAATGATTATTGTTTTCCGTGATATTTTTGCTGCGCGAGCTCCGCGAATGATGATTCAAAGTACCGTTTTCACGCTCGCTGGTCGGTTTCGCAGAAGTAGACGGAGCTCTGCAATAAGAGAATTCACATTCAATAGAGAACAGAATTTCACGATTAAATTCTCACTCTAACGCATCCGTCTTCTTCGTATCGGCAGGATCATGCTCACTTCGCCGCCTTTTCTCTACACATACAGCCTTTATAAGTTCCTCCTCAGCCTGCCGTCGCTTTGCACGAATAGCTTCACCTGAACTACGTCGCCGACGGTCAGGGGAGGCTGCCTCGCCTTTCCCTTCGAGAGTGTCTCCGATGCTGTGTCGGGTTCTTCAATGAGACATGATTCATGGAAGAACTAATCAATAAAGGAATTAGCTATCATGCGCTTCAAAAATTGATAACATAAAAATTCGAACTAACCTAGTGATGTTTGAAGAGAAATAGAGATCAGCGTAGCCAGGAAACAAGCTCATTTGTGATTCAACCTCCTCCCGTTGGGCTCTAAAAGAAAGGAACACGTTACAACTTTACTGAGGATAATTTGACAGGTGTGAGTGAAAAATCTACCTAAATTGTTATTAACAACTGTTACTAACAAATCGTTTTTACAAACCTGTACTCCTCATTAGCCCATAACTTTTCACGCACGGCGTCCATAAGGTTGCCGAGGCGATTTTTTCCGCGCCATTTAGAAGGATTCACAGCATCGGGACTGTCGATCGAGAGACCTGAGCTTACCATACGCGGACAGAAGATTCTGCATTTATACAACGGAGTTTACATGCCAGTAATTGCATAAAGAGCCTAGAAATAACAATTTTTCTGAGAAAACGTGAATTTCTTACAAAACCAAGTGACTGTTTCTTTGACTGCAATCATAATGATAATTAGAAGCAGAATAATTGACATTGCAAAGGATAATGACTCACCTATCCCCCAAATGGAATCGAAAGGTGAGCATTCGACAAGGCGTGAACCGTGCGTCAAGAACAGCATATGTCGAAGTCGAGAATCTTGCGTAAACTTAGCTTCAAGTGCGCTAGTCATTACAGCCGAGCTCATAGAGTCCCACATAAAAAACAGTAAAATTTTTGAGAGGATCAGTTTAGAACTTGCATTAAAAAAACTAAAAATTGGTGGCCTGAAAAAAAAGCAAGCAAAAGAATGAACCTACAAATCTTTATCAAACCCAACAAGCTCCATGCCAATTCGCTTCATCTTCTTCGGATCTCGTTCTGACATGATGCGTTCCGCTGCAGTTTTATCTCCAGCTGAGAGAGCTTTGCTATACCTGTAAGCAGATACTGATTAGAAATCCGATGACTACGGCTTGAGATGAACAGGGGAGTGCCGCATCCCCCCCCCCCCCCCCGAAGCCATCGTTGGAAAGATGGACCAAAACACTCCCATACCCATGCAAGCCAATACGACAACAGCGAATAAAATCTGTCAACAAGACTTACATATAATATTGCTCAACACATGAGAAAGTCCTCTTAGCGCCATCCATAGCTGTTTGTTGAAAGCGGCATGGATGAAAATTCGAAAACGGACTCTGAATTGTGAAGAAAAGAGTGAAGTCGCCATTTGGCGATGAAACTCGCCGCGTGCCCATCTGTTCTGAAACTGGGATACGAGTACATTTCGAACTTTGACGAGAGAAAGTGTTAAGAAGCAACACGACACATTGACTTCAAGCTCAAAAATTAAAGAATCAACAACGATTGCGCGTAATACCAATAAAGCTACTTTTGGTGATCATGAAGTGTACATCAAACTTCAAAAAATTAGAAAATAGGAAAAACTTTGCAAGCAAGGACCATGTTAAAGTCACTCAATTATGCAATTATACGATGATGATGACACTTTTCTATCACATATGCATACACAGTTATGATGCACAAGGATAACAAGATTATTAAATGTGGGTTGCATGCCATACACAAGAAGTACTAGGAGTCGGTAGCTATAGTATTCATTCACAGTTGGAATTTTACTGCCTTTTTTGCTTTTTTGGTCTTTTCTCAGCAAATTATGTCTCTGTGAGAATTGTGCTATATGATTTGAATGGAATAAAATAAAGTGATTTCAACTTCAAAATTCCTTTCGAATTGTTGCAACATAGTGAATAGTGAACGCGGTAGTGAATCAGAGCAACACTAGGGTCATTCGGAACAAATTTTGCATTTACTGACTGCTACTCTGATTTGCGAATATTTTCTCGAAAGTTTTTCGTTCATTATTATATAGGCACCGTCCCTCCTCAGTTAGGGGTCTTGAGCTTTTGGCAGCTTACAATTGTAGGACCCTTATCAAGCCAATACCCGAGTCGCAGCGAAGAATGTCGCTTCGGAAGCAAAGAAGATGAGAACCCCAAATCGGCACCGCCTCCCTCCAGTAGTGCCCGCCCATCCGTACGCGATCATCCAATCACCGTTCCGAAAAATCAGCCTGCGGGTTGGGGATTGTCGCGGTTTTCGCGGATTTTCGACTTCATATTCGAAATCAGGGGCGTGAGAAGGGAACCGGAACGACCAAACACGGACGTCGAATCTGGGTAGACAGTGCCTTTAAAAATGACTGGTTTCAAAACTGAAATAATAAATCCCAAATGTAATGTAGATACAGTGAACTGTACACTGCCTCTCTTCTTCTACGACTTTCTTATGATTGATAACCCCGTCATGGGTAAAGGAACCAATCAAAGACCAAATCAAAAACACCTGCAATTTAATTTGGTGGAATTATATGGCCTGAAACAACATTGTGTGTACAAACGTAGGCCCTAAAAACCGCAAAAATAGATACGAAAATGATGAAACATTCCCACCCAACCGACAGTTTGTGCATTGATTGGAGTACACAGTTGTACACTGAGTGAGAAATCGACTGTAGGGCAAACAAGGAGATGTAGCGGTCAACAGATAGGGCAAAAGCACTACATCAATAATGGCAAAATTTCCAGTAATAACTGTCGAACCTCAATTCATAAGAGGAAGAGAAAAGCAGCGCATGTCCCCGCAACTGAGAATGACTGCACTGAGATAAATGGCACCTCCCACAAAAACATTTTCGAAAATACTCCATCCAGTCAAGACTTCAAGATACGATTAACCTCCCTCCGCAGAGCACTGATGCGCAAAAAGCTATGACCAGTGTGCTAGACCTATTCATACTGCTTGCTCTCCAATCTTTCAGCATACTCTCGAGTAATTGCATTTGTGTGCTTCATGGTCATCACCCCATGCTGCGGCAGAACGAAAGTCAATCCAGAATAGTTTTTCCTACTAGATGGAAGAAAAACCAAAAAAGCTCTCATCAACCAAAATAGGACATTCAAAGGTCTGTATGACAATGCAGTACTCCAAACGTATGCAACCGACAAAGCAAGAAGATAATCTTAGACCAGAAGTATTCATTTAGGCTCCCATACGCATACCACAATACAAAAAAAGAAACGGAATCTTTTCAATCACTAATTCACTAAGATCAGTACAAATTAATACATCATTAGTGATATATAGGCAACCAAATAAATTCTACACAGAACCACACGCCAGGATAGGGATGAAAACGAGACAAGTAGAGCGGAATGGACATACAATCAAACGGCGAAGCTACTTAATTCTAAAATTAAGACGAAAGCAGAATAACTGTGTCACATTATTGGGGGTAAAGATCAAAATCAGTTTGTCCATTTCATCAAACTTGACTTAAATGTCATCAATGTCGATCTCAACGCCGTCATCAGTCTTCACTTTGATGTCTGCTGCTTTAGCTTCGACCTTCGCCTTCTCTGCATATACGCTAGTCTTGGCTTTACGATCATCGAACTAAAAACGACTAGTTTAGCTTAAATCAACCTTGTGACTATAGTCAAACTCACGTCAATCTCATCGTCACTTTCCTCTTCATCATCATCTTCTTCCTCAGCTTCCCTCAACCAAGTCAACACCGGTTCACATTTCTGGACTATTTTCTTCGATTGTGTTTTAGACACATACTTAGAGGACGGCTGGAATTGCAGTAATGCATTTAAGAAAACAAAAAGCTTGGACGATTCCCTCTTAGCGCTATGATTGATTAAAACCGTACCTTGTCACCCCACGCCAAAATTGCCTCTTCCTCACATATATCATTATCGTAAAGGGCTTTGATGATGTGGGCGGCCCTCGGTAGCAGTATAGTCTCATGTTTAGTTATGAGCTGTTCTATGCCACCCAACATGTAGCGCTGCGCCTGAAACAACTCTATGGTTCATAAGCTTGAAAATTAAAATGCTGAGCGCACCTTCTTATCATTAAGGGTAAATCTCAATAGAACTCTTCTGTAGTGTTTGATCTGCGCTACACCATCCTTTGCGATATCTTCGTCAAAAAGAACATCAGCAAGAAGTAGTGGAGCTTTTTGTTTCAACTCCAAACGTTCTGCTTCGTCGGCAAGTGCCTTAAAAAACAAAAGAATGAGTCACATCTTTAACCAGACGTAGGAAGCTAGCATACCTTTCCATCACCTATGGTGCCTTTTTCTTTTGCTTCGACAAAGAAACGATGAAGCATGTCCAAACGCTCTTCGATACTCTTGTCAAGGTCTTTATCGATGACCAGTTTTCCGATCCCAGCGGCTAATTTCATGTTTGGTGCTTCGTCTTCTTCTGGTGCCCAGTCGTCGTCTTCATCATCATTTGAGCTGTTCTGGAAACATACCTTATCGAAAAAATTTAGGTGCTTTTGAGACTCAGGAAGATAGCAACTCACTCGATCTCCATTAGTTTCCACACCCAAATCCTCTTCCTTGACATGTCCGTTGCCATTCTGCTTGTTATCCTTAGCTGTAAAACAGAAGTGAATGTTTTGTTACAATCAGTCAGTGTACGATCCACTTACAGAAGTCGACCTCGATCTTGGGTGGGTTCTTCAAAATGTAAGTGGATAGTCTGTGGCGATTATCGATGATGAATGCGTGACCACACGCCTTACATTTACTGTGAATTTGATTCTTTCGCACTGACTAAAAAAATTTGTGTCCATAAAAATTCATCTAACCCATAAGAAAAGAAACTCACTAATGCAGTTTCCGGATTTTCGCACGCTGGGCATAGAACAAATTTTTTGATGAAGCCATCAAGGATGTCCTGCAGCTTCGCGGCGTCATGCTCTCCATTCACGATGTAACGCTCGTTTTTCGCATCGTAGTTGGTCTGTGCGCCCAGTTCGCAGCCGAAGTACTTGGTTGGATCTGGATTTGCAACATTCCACAAACAGAACGTGAAATCACGCGCACAAGCAAGCAATGTAAGAAACTCACACATTGGTGGGCGTTCAAGTGATTTAGCTATTTCAGACATATTTGCTACAACAGTTTTGATTCCGTTGCCTTTGCCCTCGACCTAAAAAGTGTTTTTGAGAAAAATAATTATGCGCTGCTGACTAAGTATTGTTACTAGTTCAAAGAAGATGATTGATGAACGGTATAGCGAACTCTTTGCTATTTAGAAAAAGATTTTTTGCAAAAAAACGATCAAATTGTCACACCTTTGCGAGCAATTTTGGCATTTTGTAACGGTAGAATGGATCGGTCACAGCACGGTTCACGTTGAGAGCCATTGCGAATCAATTTCCGTTCGGCTGAAAAATGAATCCTTGGATCATTGTTGAGTTTAGTCACCAATCTGCATTAAGCAACGTGTAACTTACAATAATTACTAAAATGTTGAGAGCAGACGCAAAGCGACGACCTGCCGTTGTGCAAATTGCATACGATATTGGTATCGTAAACAGAGGCGTCGAGAAACAACGACGCTAACGTTTCGCTAGTCTTCAGTTTCTTTCTTTTCCTTGACAACCTCCCTATAAGAAAGAAAATGTAATTTAAGAGATATGACTCAGAGAGTGTGTGTTCCTTCCCACCCTCACTGGTTAGATTGCCAAGCATAAACCGACCGAACGAAGCCACCACGAAAAATGAACTTCACTCATTCTATAGCCCATAATGCTAATCGAAAGCGAAAACAGGATTCCGCTATTCTACAGTGCAAAGCCTGATACGGCCTATTGCCTCGCACTCTACACTTCTAGATATCAATAGGTGAATGCCCTTTTTTACAGATACTGTGTTCAATATGAAAATAAAAGTCAATTTTTTCACTCAGTAAACAATTTGTGGATCCTCTCCGTTCAGACTACATGCATTAAACTATCTCTAAATCATGTGCTCGCGTTTTTTCCCAAATCAATCACACCTGCCCCAGCCTAAACAGCCGCCGAGAGAGGGCCATCGATCGCAGCACAGAAACAAACACGCCGCAATTCAATAGAACGCTCTACTCGCCGCATTCGAAAAGAAATAAAACTTCTCCAAACTAACCTTCCTGAGGGTTGTCGATCATAAAATCGCAATATTGTACGAAGTTTGTTGGGTGCAAGAACATGCACAACTGGCACTCCCAGTAAAAGTGGACGGGTTTTCCAAGTGTCAAGGAGATCCTGAAAAAATGGAGCCTGATAGGAGTGAAGTTAGTCAGTCATTTTAGCCATAGATATGATGAGACAGCGCTGAAACACAAAGTAAACGTCATAAAACGAGGTATGGACATATGTCCACAAGAATTGACTGATGATGTAACATACACTGTTGACAGAGCTTAGTCAATAGATGATGACAGACATAAAGTGCAACACAATGTTCATTTGCTGGCAGCTAATTTGTACACGTAAGATAACGAGCACTCGATAAAAGAAGTCATGGGACCTAGCTATTCGACAGACACACGTCAAGATAAGCTTCGCAAAGTGACGAAAGCCGCTAGCCACCCGCAGTCAGCTCGCTCAATCGATAAAGCGAAAAGAAGGCCAATTTTATACGCCCGAACTAGGTCGAAGACAGCGAACAGCTAGAACGCAAGAGCGCCGACTCACCAAAGACGCTGGGAAACTTGGTCAAAGCGGACTCAAAACCGTTACTGTGCTACCTGTAAAACTACCAAAACACCTCAAATGATCGAGACGGGGTTTCGTAGTGCGGATTATGAACGGAGCGTGCTAAATCCATTGCATTTCGTGTGTGGAAGGGACAAAAGCGAAAACCGGACTGTCGTCGAGCGCCGGGCGCTATATGAGCGCCGCACGAACGCCCGCCCTCCCCAAGCTCTGCGTCTCTGACGTTTTTGCGCCTCGGTCTCCGCATACTGCACACTCTCTCGCACCGCTGCACACGCTTTATGGCGTGCTCTGACGCGACGTGCGCGCGTGTCTGCGCTCTAACATTGGCTGACAAGTTCCGCTGATCAGTAGCGATCAATTTTCTGCTTCCACTGCTTCAGATGTGCTTCATATTGCAAAGGCACAAGGTCGAGGGTCTCCACTGAGTGTATGGGTCTTGGAAATGGCGTTTTCTTTGTCGGAACTACATTTCCGGGCGTGTGCACTTTTATTTGGTTGTGAGTCTTCGCTTGTTTATCGAATCGAGCGAGGGAGGAGTGTTCATCGGATTTGGATTATTGCTGTTGAATTTGTCTGAGATAGCTAATTAAGGCGGCCGGCTTATACCTTTTATAGGCAACATGGGGCTTTTCTTCATGGCTATAACGAGATTAGCGTCTTCATGGCGCCATGGTTTAATATCTGTATTCGAGAATTAACAGAGATCAAATCCATTAAAATATCAGACTGCTGCCCAAGAAAAGACACTCTCCGCATAATTCCTCTTTTGTGTCATTACGGTCCACACATCATATATGCGTCAAAAACGTTATTAACCTTCTCTAGCGTTTGTGCTCATCACGGCTTGCACGTGGTAGATAACAGGGGCCGTCGATTTTATTCCGTTTTCAGCAAATGCGCAGACTTCAGTAATAAACAAGGGTTTTGTGCTTATAAGAGAGGTATATACCCGGAATAGGAATGATTTATTGCTAAGAGCCAAGCGCGAGGTAAGTTATCCAGCGTCGCGCAAAGGGGGGGGGGGGAGAGTGCTAGATTTTACAGCCTTGCGATAGAGACCCACCCATAAAACAGTTGGAGTATGGAGCCAGAAAGGCTTCGATAAAACCTGAAATCTGCTCTCGGTACGCCGTTCTTCTCCCCCCCCCCCCTTCCCGCCCACCCCCCATCCCCGCTACGCATCAATTTCCCACCAATGCTAGAGTGCACATATCGCGCGCAGTCATGGTAATCAGGTTCTACAGCTTTTTTTATCTCCCTCTATATCCCCATGTAACACCTTCTACTCAAAAGTCGACCTTGTTGCAAGGATGTATCGAAAACGCTCCTGAAGATGTTTCCGAGAACTTGGGTATGCGGGTCGAAAGAGACTGGAGGCCTAAGCCATTATCCAAGCAGTTCTACTCACGCTCTCGGTGATTTTCCGAGCCGACAAACAGCGTTCCTAAGCAGGCACTTTTTCCGTGGGCACGAATGGCCGGCGCAGGCTGTGTTTCTCCTAGTTCTGTGCCTCACTCGCGTTCGCATATATTGGTAAATCCAAATCCCACGAGAAAAGCGTGCAAAATGTTTAGGAAAATAGGGGCAGAATGGTTGCGGTGATCAGCATTTTACTGGGAAAATGTGTCGGCATTGCGTCAGCACAGAGCAGCCTTATTCATATCTACGACTAGTAGGCATTGGTTTCGTTTTCGTTTCCTTTTCGCTTCAGTTCTGCCAACGGAAACTGCAAATGCCAAAGGAATGGATCTTTGCTTCGCGATGGTCCCCTATGACATAATTTGCGCCCTCCGCTAGGTTTTATAGTTGCAAATTGAATACTTTTTGTACTAGTTCGTATCCCTCATACCGCGTAACGCAATGAACTTCTTGAGCCTCTGGCAAGGTGACATCGATGGACAAAGGCATCAAAGCAAATCTGAAGTTGGTGAACTCTATTGCAATAGATACAAAGGCAGGCCTCTGACTAGGTAATTGCTTTAGTCCGCTGTAAAACATATATTCCGAAGCTAGTGAATCGCTTCAAAAGGCAGGTGCTGTTTGGGTCGCCACGCCCATCAATAGGGATTGGCTGAAAATAACGAGCCAATGACGACGCACAATAAAGGGCGGATTTCACAAGGAAAGGTGGATTTTCGACATCTATAGGTACTAAATCTAATTTCGGGCCTATTACCTTTATTCCACATTCTAGAGCAATTTCCACGCTTTGCAATATATCTTCTACGGGAATTGGACAATTACTTAGTTAGGGGCCTCGTTATTGCACTGCATCAAAATCTCACCATACACATATTTGATGAAATGGTGCCTTCAGAATTGATGGCTTAGTCATAATTCAAACAAATTTTGTCACTGAGACACGCCCTTCTATGATCTTTGCACGAAGTTCACGTCAGTCGTTGAACAGCAAAACACCAGAATGCTACATTAAACTTTTCTAGAATGTCAACGACGCTGGAACCAGTTGCGTTTGATGAGGTTATGCGAAGTGACTCAAGGTTTATGCTTCAAAGCTTTTATTTTGTCTCTGAAGCGTTGTCTCCAATGTGTGAGAAGCACGTGCAATTTATTGGCGTGACTGAACTCGAAAAAAGAACTCGAAGAAGAACTAAGTTTGATGAAATCCGCAAAGAATTAGCTTGCAATATGCCAACCGTGGAAAAGCTTTCTTCGATGTCATGGGGGGACGCATAAAGTTAACTCTACAAAATTAATGTAACCGTAACCATATTGTGGAAACTGAAGAGCAATACGATACCGCCGCAGCCTTTTTTTTTCTGTGCAGGTTTTTTATTAGGTTGATTCATAATTAATGCACGTTTTTCCTACTTCTTCTTTCAAGAGCTGGTATTTAATGTGTAATCAATTTCTTCAAAAACTTTTTACACTATCTAAAAGAGCGTTTTTTATAGTTTCTTATGCGGTCTTCGCTTTTGTAAATCCATTCATTCCAAAGTTGTGAGCCTTCAAATGAAAGAGACTAAATTCCAAAATTTTTGCTATTCACTCTTTTTGCCCTAAATCCATGAGGAAAAGCCGTATAAATACCAAAAAATATGCATAGGGGTTAGAAAACTTTGTGCTACAAGATGCTGTTTGAACAAAATTCTCCATGAATTCTGAGCCGGAAATTCAATTGCGAACTTGAATGAATGCCGCGGCCCTTCCGTACCATATAAAACCTTGAAGCAAAGGGCGATTGCAGATCTTTTGCACTATCCAGCAAGGGTAGACCTAGCTCATTTGATGGTAGAAAAGCGCTAGGCTTTTCTCATTTTCCAGCGAAGCAAAATGAAATAATTTCAAAAACGACCGATTTTTGAACCCGCCGAGATGCCAGAAAAAAGTGAGTACTTTCAACTTTTTTGCGATATTTTCTTTCGAAAATTTTCCGTAAAATCCAAATTTGGCATTACTGCTCAAGAGACCTTTGGCTACACGACGAGCGAAGTCTGCTTTATCCTACTTCTTTCAACATAAGTTATGCTTTCTCAAAGTAGAGGCTTCTGAAAAAAGTTGTTGGCAATCTTCAGGCTAGAAATTCTTTCTTGAGATAGATACAGCACGCAAAATTATCTGTTTTATAGCCACTGATTCGATGGCTACAGTAGTTTTTATTGCACCCAGAAATGCCTTCTTAAAAAAGAATTATCTCGGTTGAAAGTTGAAGTATAGAAAACGTGCATTAATTATGAATCAACCTAATATTTCAGCGAAAACCCATGCGATATTCAGAAGAAGCTTTTTTCATCGACGGTTGGGTATGCTCACTCATAAAATGTGTGATCGTTAACATCGCCTTTTTCCTTATGGGATTCTTATATATAAAGCTGAATGTCTGTTTGTATGTCTGCCTGTCTGTCTGTATGTCTGTCTGTGTGTACGTATGTTCCGAATAGAAAATTCCATTTCTGAACCGATCGGGACCAAACTTAGCACACATACACTTCGGGCCCCGGCGGGTGTCATAGGCTACTTTTCGTCATCGATCGATATCGATTTTATCGATTTTTTGCAAAATTTGAGCTACGGGGCTGGGAGTTGGCACAGGGGGGTAATCGAGCATGCTCGATTACACCCCTCCGCCAAATTCCAGCCCCCTAGCTCAAATTTTGCAAAAAATCGACAAAATCGACATTGATCGATAACGAAAAGTGGACTGTGACACCCGCCGGGGCCCGAAGTGTATGTGTGCCAAGTTTGGTCCGGATCGGTTGAAAAATGGAATTTTCTATTCGGAACATACGGCGGAGCCGGATAATCCAGCTAGTATCTCATAATTTGGGAAGGGGGGAGGGAAGTGGGAAGAAGAGGTGTAGGTTCCCATAAAAAATAAGTGGTTTCAAAACCAAGCAGTTCTTCGGTTGTAGTAACGGGAGCGAATCCCCGGGAAATATTTACCATGGTTACGCAACGTTTTCAGTTGAAACATCAATATTTGATGGAAAGGGTGATCGAGGTGATTTGTGGTCAGAATGAGCAGACACACCGTCACCATCTGGATGACCATGTTACACTTTTGGTCGCAATCTATACAGTACCCGTCACGTCGCTGCCTGCAAGACCGGTTTAAGAATTTTTGTCCAATTCCAAGGTCTAAGAATGAAGCTGTGGGGATGAAGAAATTTTTTTTCAATAATGTGGGGCATCTTTTAATAAAAGCTAAATCGATTAACCTTATTTGACTACTTTCGTGGCTACTCCATTTCCCTGTACCCCATTCTGCTCAATGTTAACTTTTGAAAATTGACTTTTGAATCTTGCCCATACCGTATTTCTCCCACGAGCATCCTTCAATTACGGTATAGTGGGCAAAACTTTGCTTGGTTTCTTGGTCATTAATGAATTATATGAGCTGCCGTAGCCAAACATGTATTATCAGAACATTCCATTCACCACGATATGGAGAGTTCAAGCACCCAAATCTATCTGGGCACTCCCTTTAAGTGGCTATATAACCCTTGAAGTACGTAGAAAAAGCAGTGTGCGAGCTATGTGCAATTACTCAGCAAGTAAGCCAGGTGTCCCTTGGTTCGCTCAATATTTGCTGCTTACGTCGACTGCGTGATAAATGTGACAGCACCTGGATGATAACACCACTGCTGGACTGCTCTCGAACTGACAAATGACATGGCTAGGCAAAGCGAAAAAGCGAGCGGGAATGAGAAAGTGCGCAATTTTATTAGACTCTATAAAAATAAGACGATGGGCTTCCTGAAGTTTCTCAAAGCAATATCAATTCTAGATCCTTGGGTCAGCTAATGAATGAATCGTTTGCTTTGGCGGCTTGTTAAAATGTTGCAGGCACAAATTTTTGTACAACGTCTCTGTATCTACAAGTGCTCCACTTGGAATGGTGTACTCTCTTTGATAGACATTTGTTTATAGTGAAAAAAAAAGAAGCAAAGGAGCGAAATACTTCCTTCCGGTGAGGGCAAATTTGAGAAAATTTTTATATTTTATCGGGAAATGCAAGCTGCTTGCTGTTTTTACTACTGCAATTGACGGAAACTTGTGCGTGATTAGGCAAATTACTCTTTTTCACACCCACCGCAGAATGAGAGAGACATGAGAGAGAAAGTTCGAAATCAAAAGACTGAGATATTCAGAAAACCATCTAGCCATGTTTGGACAAAACCCTCCTTGTCCAGTGGAAAACTTTGAATAGTTGGAATGTGATACTAGAATAAAGAAACAGTCTCTTCACAAAAAATGGTACTATAAAGAAGCTAAATCTTTTTAGAGATTTACATGTCAAAAGGTTTTTTGCATTCATCCTGATAAAAAACATTCGAATGGACGTTGCCAACTACATCTTGGCAGCTCGGCATGAGGTGGCTTTTCGAAAGCGCAAGAAAAGAAGTTCTTGACATTCCCAAAATTTTACGAAATCCCCTTTGACCCTAAGCCATAAACGAAAAAAAAAAACTCTCAAAAAACAAACCTGGACGAGCAAAAACGTAACCTGAGTTGTGGTTTTTTGCCCAAAAACCATGTTCCCCTTGTTTTTTGTGTCAAAAACGATATACAGCTTGCTTACGAGCTACCTGTGTCAAACCCTCCATCTCGGTGGCAAATTATTAGGTTGCCCCAAAAGTAAACTCCATTTTCAAATAAATCGAACTGTTCTTGTTTTCCTAATAAAGTTGAAGGCAGCAACTCGCCAAAACCGGACATCCCGAAATTTAGACGGGGAAGGTTGCTCGCACCCCAAACATGAGAACAGCGCAGGTCTGAGCGCACAGCATGCTGCCCTTGCCTAGAGAATTGCGTTACGCGCAAGCCATTCTAGTACGCGCGGACGAGCTTGCGATTCTCCCCGACCCGTCAGAGAAGGCATGCCACAATGTTATAAATGCGAGGGTCCCGCAACGATTCTGCCTCTCTAACGATGACGGCACGCGCTCCACTTGTCCGAATTCAAAATGGGAGGCCTTGGAAAATGATGGTTTTTGCCATTTTCGCGCACTTTAAGGTGGATTTTCGGAATCAGCGCCTCGAGTTACCCCAAGTAAGCAAAAAAAAACTTAAAGTCGATCTGCCGAGCCGCTGCCTTTAAGGTAATATTCGATAGAGCAGAGCAAGCTGTACAAAAAGACTACCAAAGATCCACCTAAGTCGTAATTCAGGTAAAATTTAGGGCCAAAAATCAATTCAGGTACCCTAAACGCATCTCCTTCCAGAAATTTCCTACGGACTTCCATCTTGGTCTTTAAATAGTAGACACATAGTAGCATTCAAAAATATTCGACGGATTTTTTACTGGGCTCAAAATTGAGAAAAAATAAGATGGTCTGAAAATGCCAAAATACCATTTTTTCAGGTTTTTTATGTAAAATTGTACTTAGTAAGGCTTTAGTATACAATGACGTATGTGGAAAGGGCTGGGGGCGAATTTTGCCATTTTTGAATAATTTTTGTTTCTCGCTTTCTGTGCACGGAAAAATTTCGGTAAAGGCATATTTGAGTATTACTATGTGTATACTGTATAATGGCCAAGTTGGAGGTCTGTAGGATGCTTTGTCGCAGAAATCCAATTTTCAGGCGACAAAATATTTTTCGATCTTGGCTTCAAACTTTCCATGGTGTGCGACTTAGGCGATGCTTGGTGGATAATCTGTAAAGCTTGACCTGCTCTATGAATGTTACCTTAAGTTTGTTGGGAAAACCAAAACAGTTGAATTATTTGAAAAAGGAGTTTACTTTTGGGACAATTCAATACTTGTCCCACTCGTTAGTGATCACAAAGGAACATTGTTGGTAATTTTTGTAGATTGAGCAAAACCGGAAATATTGCGTTAAATCGCTGAATTGTTTGAGAGATGATGAGCTTGAAAATAGTTGTAAAAATGCTGAGAGCCATTAAAATACTTATCTCTAAGCCGATTATCCGAGTAATCCAGCTAAATGATGGAACGCAAATTGCGCTTTTTTGTCAAATTTGTGATTTTAACTGACATAATCAATCCTTATTTTTCCTAAGGGTTGGGATTTTTCATTATTTTATGTCAGATCACAAGAAGTCGTAAGATTTTCTCGTTTCACTTTTTGAATGATATTATTGATGTTTTCCAATAATTGTCAAATGTTTTTGAAGAGGAAGTATTATGCCATAAATGCGTCGAATGTTCTTATTAGATCCATGTTAAGCCGCAGACGTTTCCAATTTTAGAGTTAATAATGAAATGCAGTTGCATAATTTATGCAAAAGTCCCCCAAAACAAAACAAATTCGTCCTCGTTGCCACCTGTTTATTGCTAAAGTTACGTTAAGATCGGCTCTACGGCATCTGCCACAATAAGGCGATTCTTGGCAAATCAAATTTTGCTGGCAGATACCATGTCCTGCGCAGTTTCTGGCCGAACAACTGAAGCCGTTTTTTTAAATTTTAAGCACAAATTTTTTGCGTAGCAGAAAAGCAATTGAATTTGTGCTAGTTCATGATTTTTACTGTTAATCAAACATTTGCAACAATTAAGAATGTGCCATTCACCAATAGCGAAATTATTCTCACTCATTTCATGCCCACCGCAGAGCTTTCTCAAATGCAAACGAAGCGAATGTAATTGGGTCTCAAATATGATGTCAGTGCTGTGCTAGTTCTTTTTTTTTGGCAACTAGGCGAATAGAACCAGCTGCGGCATCCTTACATGGACTTTTTTCTTGCCACATGAATTGCATGGCTTGTACTTTGTACACAAAACGAGTTTTTGCAGTTCCTAGTAGAGCTCTGTATGCTTTGTCTTGCACTTACATACATTCATTGAAATATGGATGACTGACTGCGGGCTAGCCATTCACAACAGATTCGTGTGGGCGCAGTGGAAAGTTATCGGGGAAAGCACCCGAGAGTTAGGGGATCATTATTAACATAGGTGGAAATACATTAAAGTGGATAAACGCATCGAATCTCAAAAAAAAATGCAGATTAGTTAATTTCGAAGGATAACACTTTATTTAACAAAAAGTGAACAATGTTTACGCAGATAATTGCTACGTCGATGCTTGGTAAACAGGTGCGCATAAGTGGCACGAAACATAATGAATCACTAGAAAAGCTTGGAAATATTTATTGAGATAAGCACAGGAAAAAAAATTTGGAAATGTCTAATTTCTGACTATTCACCTTCGGTGTTCTGAAACAATTGGCCCAAAGATTTTTTTCAAAATCTCTAATAAGAATTGCTTAAAAGCTCTATATGTTCAAAATAAATCAAAGCAAATTTTCAGCAAAGTATCGATCCTATCAAATAATTAAAGGGGAAAATAGAGAAAAATGGAGCTAGAAAAACGGAAATGTTGAAATGATCAAGACCGAACCCACAGGCTCGGATCTACTTAGTGCTAATTTAATGAAAAAAATTTTTTTCCACTTCGTATGTCTCTAAGCTAGCACTGTACGCAAATAACATGAAATCCTTGAATAAATAAATAAGTAGATGAATAGATTGAAAAATCATGGATCTCTTACTCGAAAATTCACTATTACATTTACATTGCCTTAACATTAACAATTTATTGATCATCGCCAGCTTTTTCTCTTCTAAAGTGCACTTGTTGTGAGTGCATTTACTGTGGTAGAATCAATAACTCCAAATGAAAAAAGCTTTCGCAGCTGAATGCCCTCCGCATTGCCACGTGTCCTTCGGGAAACAAAGTTTGTTGTTTTTGCACCCTCTCAGCTTTGCTCTTGTTCGATAAGTGTTCTTTCGCATGAAAAGAGTTTCGTTGTTGAAACGAACTGCAACATAGACGACGGTAAAAAACAAGGAATGCTAGAAGCATGAAAGAAAGTCTGTGTTGTCAATGCCATACTTGAAGTGAGTTCTATGAACTATTCAGTAAAGGATGACTATGTAATGTAGTTGATTCATACTCCAAAACGCGCAATTGCGCATATGGCACGTCTTGAAGTTGCTGACCACTTTGCATTGTTGGAAACTCTCAAATAAATTTGCCTTTAAGGTAACGATAAGTATGAGCGCCATATTTGTCACAGCTGTTTGTCAGAAATAGAGCTAAGGCCACTTCGACTAAAAAGTGATTTATTTGTTAGTGTCAAGATAGTCTGTGAGCGACATGAATGGAGAGCATGACGCCGCGAAGCTGCAGGACATCCTTGATGGCTTCATCAAAAAATTTGTTCTATGCCCAGCGTGCGAAAATCCGGAAACTGCATTAGTGAGTTTCTTTTCTTATGGGTTAGATGAATTTTTATGGACACAAATTTTTTTAGTCAGTGCGAAAGAATCAAATTCACAGTAAATGTAAGGCGTGTGGTCACGCATTCATCATCGATAATCGCCACAGACTATCCACTTACATTTTGAAGAACCCACCCAAGATCGAGGTCGACTTCTGTAAGTGGATCGTACACTGACTGATTGTAACAAAACATTCACTTCTGTTTTACAGCTAAGGATAACAAGCAGAATGGCAACGGACATGTCAAGGAAGAGGATTTGGGTGTGGAAACTAATGGAGATCGAGTGAGTTGCTATCTTCCTGAGTCTCAAAAGCACCTAAATTTTTTCGATAAGGTATGTTTCCAGAACAGCTCAAATGATGATGAAGACGACGACTGGGCACCAGAAGAAGACGAAGCACCAAACATGAAATTAGCCGCTGGGATCGGAAAACTGGTCATCGATAAAGACCTTGACAAGAGTATCGAAGAGCGTTTGGACATGCTTCATCGTTTCTTTGTCGAAGCAAAAGAAAAAGGCACCATAGGTGATGGAAAGGTATGCTAGCTTCCTACGTCTGGTTAAAGATGTGACTCATTCTTTTGTTTTTTAAGGCACTTGCCGACGAAGCAGAACGTTTGGAGTTGAAACAAAAAGCTCCACTACTTCTTGCTGATGTTCTTTTTGACGAAGATATCGCAAAGGATGGTGTAGCGCAGATCAAACACTACAGAAGAGTTCTATTGAGATTTACCCTTAATGATAAGAAGGTGCGCTCAGCATTTTAATTTTCAAGCTTATGAACCATAGAGTTGTTTCAGGCGCAGCGCTACATGTTGGGTGGCATAGAACAGCTCATAACTAAACATGAGACTATACTGCTACCGAGGGCCGCCCACATCATCAAAGCCCTTTACGATAATGATATATGTGAGGAAGAGGCAATTTTGGCGTGGGGTGACAAGGTACGGTTTTAATCAATCATAGCGCTAAGAGGGAATCGTCCAAGCTTTTTGTTTTCTTAAATGCATTACTGCAATTCCAGCCGTCCTCTAAGTATGTGTCTAAAACACAATCGAAGAAAATAGTCCAGAAATGTGAACCGGTGTTGACTTGGTTGAGGGAAGCTGAGGAAGAAGATGATGATGAAGAGGAAAGTGACGATGAGATTGACGTGAGTTTGACTATAGTCACAAGGTTGATTTAAGCTAAACTAGTCGTTTTTAGTTCGATGATCGTAAAGCCAAGACTAGCGTATATGCAGAGAAGGCGAAGGTCGAAGCTAAAGCAGCAGACATCAAAGTGAAGACTGATGACGGCGTTGAGATCGACATTGATGACATTTAAGTCAAGTTTGATGAAATGGACAAACTGATTTTGATCTTTACCCCCAATAATGTGACACAGTTATTCTGCTTTCGTCTTAATTTTAGAATTAAGTAGCTTCGCCGTTTGATTGTATGTCCATTCCGCTCTACTTGTCTCGTTTTCATCCCTATCCTGGCGTGTGGTTCTGTGTAGAATTTATTTGGTTGCCTATATATCACTAATGATGTATTAATTTGTACTGATCTTAGTGAATTAGTGATTGAAAAGATTCCGTTTCTTTTTTTGTATTGTGGTATGCGTATGGGAGCCTAAATGAATACTTCTGGTCTAAGATTATCTTCTTGCTTTGTCGGTTGCATACGTTTGGAGTACTGCATTGTCATACAGACCTTTGAATGTCCTATTTTGGTTGATGAGAGCTTTTTTGGTTTTTCTTCCATCTAGTAGGAAAAACTATTCTGGATTGACTTTCGTTCTGCCGCAGCATGGGGTGATGACCATGAAGCACACAAATGCAATTACTCGAGAGTATGCTGAAAGATTGGAGAGCAAGCAGTATGAATAGGTCTAGCACACTGGTCATAGCTTTTTGCGCATCAGTGCTCTGCGGAGGGAGGTTAATCGTATCTTGAAGTCTTGACTGGATGGAGTATTTTCGAAAATGTTTTTGTGGGAGGTGCCATTTATCTCAGTGCAGTCATTCTCAGTTGCGGGGACATGCGCTGCTTTTCTCTTCCTCTTATGAATTGAGGTTCGACAGTTATTACTGGAAATTTTGCCATTATTGATGTAGTGCTTTTGCCCTATCTGTTGACCGCTACATCTCCTTGTTTGCCCTACAGTCGATTTCTCACTCAGTGTACAACTGTGTACTCCAATCAATGCACAAACTGTCGGTTGGGTGGGAATGTTTCATCATTTTCGTATCTATTTTTGCGGTTTTTAGGGCCTACGTTTGTACACACAATGTTGTTTCAGGCCATATAATTCCACCAAATTAAATTGCAGGTGTTTTTGATTTGGTCTTTGATTGGTTCCTTTACCCATGACGGGGTTATCAATCATAAGAAAGTCGTAGAAGAAGAGAGGCAGTGTACAGTTCACTGTATCTACATTACATTTGGGATTTATTATTTCAGTTTTGAAACCAGTCATTTTTAAAGGCACTGTCTACCCAGATTCGACGTCCGTGTTTGGTCGTTCCGGTTCCCTTCTCACGCCCCTGATTTCGAATATGAAGTCGAAAATCCGCGAAAACCGCGACAATCCCCAACCCGCAGGCTGATTTTTCGGAACGGTGATTGGATGATCGCGTACGGATGGGCGGGCACTACTGGAGGGAGGCGGTGCCGATTTGGGGTTCTCATCTTCTTTGCTTCCGAAGCGACATTCTTCGCTGCGACTCGGGTATTGGCTTGATAAGGGTCCTACAATTGTAAGCTGCCAAAAGCTCAAGACCCCTAACTGAGGAGGGACGGTGCCTATATAATAATGAACGAAAAACTTTCGAGAAAATATTCGCAAATCAGAGTAGCAGTCAGTAAATGCAAAATTTGTTCCGAATGACCCTAGTGTTGCTCTGATTCACTACCGCGTTCACTATTCACTATGTTGCAACAATTCGAAAGGAATTTTGAAGTTGAAATCACTTTATTTTATTCCATTCAAATCATATAGCACAATTCTCACAGAGACATAATTTGCTGAGAAAAGACCAAAAAAGCAAAAAAGGCAGTAAAATTCCAACTGTGAATGAATACTATAGCTACCGACTCCTAGTACTTCTTGTGTATGGCATGCAACCCACATTTAATAATCTTGTTATCCTTGTGCATCATAACTGTGTATGCATATGTGATAGAAAAGTGTCATCATCATCGTATAATTGCATAATTGAGTGACTTTAACATGGTCCTTGCTTGCAAAGTTTTTCCTATTTTCTAATTTTTTGAAGTTTGATGTACACTTCATGATCACCAAAAGTAGCTTTATTGGTATTACGCGCAATCGTTGTTGATTCTTTAATTTTTGAGCTTGAAGTCAATGTGTCGTGTTGCTTCTTAACACTTTCTCTCGTCAAAGTTCGAAATGTACTCGTATCCCAGTTTCAGAACAGATGGGCACGCGGCGAGTTTCATCGCCAAATGGCGACTTCACTCTTTTCTTCACAATTCAGAGTCCGTTTTCGAATTTTCATCCATGCCGCTTTCAACAAACAGCTATGGATGGCGCTAAGAGGACTTTCTCATGTGTTGAGCAATATT